GAGGAAGGGGCTGTGGGGTTATGGGGTGCCCAGGTCTGTGGGGCCAGGGGTTTTGGGGTGGGCAGTGCTGTGGGGTGTCCAGGCATGGGGGGCTGTGGGGCGCCCAGGGGCTGTGGGGTGCCCAGGGGCTGTGGGGCGAGGCACTGCTGGTTGTCAGGGGCTGGAGCCTTTAGGACGTGGGGCCTTATGGCATGCATAGGGGGGTCTGGGGGTTGTGGAGTGCATGGAGGTATGGAGTGATGGGGTGCACGAGGAGACTTGGTGGAGGGGCACGGTGACAAGCTCGGAGGGGCTGGTGGCGAGCGCAGGGCCACAGTCCATAGCCCAGGGACAGCTCTTCCTCCTTCCCACCCCAGTACCTGGTGACTGGCTGGGGGCTGCTGGGTCCCCCCGTAGCCCTTTCGAAGGGACCCCTGACCCCCTGTGAGTCGTCTACTGGGGCTGTGGGAATGGGGGTACCGGTGGCACCGCGGTGGCAGAGCCACTCGTGCCTGGGAGGCGCCCGCGTTGTATCATTATCAGCTGCTGCTTCTTATCCCCAGGGGAACCAGGAAATAATTACAACTTGGACTTATTTCTGTACCAATTAGTGACAAGCGTATTCAAGTTGGAATCACTTCTAGGTCGCAGAAAGACCCAAGCCCAGTTTGTGTCTTATTTTTAAATCTCAGCCTGGCCGGGTCTGCCGTCCCCAGCGCTGTAGCTCAGAGAAGTGAACTGAGGATTTACCCACCAGTTCTGGGGCTGAATTTGCAGGGAGTGGTAGGGGGTTTTTTTCTGGATCAATTGGGTAAAGAACTATTTAAAAAAAATCGGGAGTGTTTTCAAGAGTAGAAAGACGTTATTCTCTGGCCGCAGTTTCACTTCCTTGGTGCCTAACAACAGGATTTTGCTGGCTCTTCCCGTCCACCCAGGGAGGTTGAATTAAACAGTCGAGGTGTCTGATATAAACAAAGCTGACGTACCGTGCTGGTCTGCGTTAGGAAACCACTGGGATGTATGTGTTTAACATCAATAATTCAAAGCGGAGCGGCCAGGAGCCGTTCAGAACTCCTATATACGAGAAAACAGCAGCGACTTCTTGCGATTTGCCTGGATTATCTTTTTCGTTCCTCACCTACAGGTGGTGGGTAAACTCCAGGAGAGCAGCCAGGGAAAATGTGGTTTTAGTAAAAGCTGACACTTGGGTTTTGTTCTGTGTGCAGAGAAACAGACGCGTCATCTGCCCCAAAGAAGTTCTGGTCCCTGTAAAAGAAAGAAAAACCTCCGCCGAGACTCGGGGCAACCGATCGGGTGAGGATGGGAGGGAAGGGGATTTGGGGAAGGGAGACGGGGATCAGTGAAAGCATCTGGCACGGGTGAAGGGTGGACGACAGCCTCCTTGGGCAGGACTGGGGTATTTAAAGTCCTATTTCATGGAACGTTTAGAGACATTGCGGGGCTGTGGGCTGGCTCGCTCCTTGATCGTCTTCCCTGTTTGTTCTCAGGTGTTCAGGCGTCCCCAATCTCTGCCTTTGATGTGAAAATGACCAAGTTAGGGTTCCTCCGGCTGTCCTACGAGAAGCAAGACACTCTGCTCAAGCTCCTCATCTTGTCAATGGCAGCTGTGCTGTGTAAGTCCGCGTCCTGCTGTGCCGGCCTTGCGGATGGCTGCCAGTGCTCTCAAAGGGGGACCCCGGGGTGCAGCCGCCTCTGCTCCCTTCTTCTCTTCTTTTATAGGTTGCGAAGCTCTCATCTTTCTCAAGGGAGCGCTCTTATTCCTTCCGTATCTGTTCCGTTGTAAAACATGTCTTTCTCTGTCTTCCCAATGACCAGTTCGAGACAGAAACAAGTTTAATCAAAGTAGATGAGAAACTCCGGCTCAGTGGGCGCTGTAGATTCACTCTGCCCTTTTTCTGTGGTTGCAGCTTTCTCCACAAGGCTTTTTTCCGTCTTAAGATTCGAAAGCGTCATCCATGAATTTGACCCGTAAGTGTCTTCCTCCTGTTTGGGGGGCTGCTGGGTTTTTCTCTTCTGGACCACACAGAAGTTGGGGGGTGTTTGCTGGGCTCAAGTTAACCCCCATTGAGGTTGAGGGATTTGGAGGGCAGTTTTCAGTAGAGCTGTTTTTTCCTTTTCTGGACCCCAAATTCCCTTCTCGTTCCCCAGGACTCATCCTGTGGCCTGGATCTAAGTGGGAGAAGTTGCCCAACACCGCTTTTATGCTGGGGTGTGGTTATTCTCTGCCTGAGCAGGGAGGGCATGACAAGAGAGCGGGCTCCTCGTACAACTTCTGTCTGCGTCCCAGGGTGGTCGTTGCTGGTTAAATCAGGCACAAGGGGGAACGTTGCCTTTGCACACCCACTTTTAAGCCCCCTAGGAGGAGGGATGAACCCTTGCAGCTGAGGTTTGTGGTAGTCTAGGGAAAAAGGACTAATTCCCTCTGCATGGAAAATGCGCGGTCAGCCCTTACAACACTCTCTTACCCCTAGATGTTGGAGAAGGGTATCCCAACAGGCACACAATTTGGTACTTAACAGCCTGTCAAAAGCTGCCTCGTTGTGCGAATGCTCGTTAAGGACTGCCGTTGTGACCCGAGGAGCATTCGATATGTCTGTATCCGGATGCGGAGATGCTTAGTGCTTGTCACTGTTGCAGGTATTTTAACTACCGCACGACCCGCTTTCTGGCAGAGGAGGGCTTCTACAAATTCCACAACTGGTTTGACGACCGAGCGTGGTACCCCTTGGGCAGGATTATCGGTGGGACCATTTATCCAGGTAAGGCTTTTGCTGAGCCAAAACGCACCTCGCACAAGGGAAAACCGGGAGAGGGGCAGGTTTGGGAGAGGGGCAGGTAGTGCACACGGAGCAGAACCGTGGGTGCCAGCTGGGAGAGGAGGGGAGCTCAGGGGATGCCCTTCATTGAGGCGTCCTGGGCAGCAGCTCCTTCCTGGCGAGACTTTTCATCTGCCCTGCTGTTAATCGCAAGCTAACGACCCCCGGTGCTGCGGGCAGACCGAGAGCCCCCCGGTCACACTGTCATTCCTGTCCTGCAGGCCTGATGATCACATCGGCGGCAATTTACCACGTGCTGCACTTCTTCCACATCACCATCGACATCCGAAATGTCTGTGTGTTCCTGGCTCCCCTCTTCTCCTCTTTCACCACCATAGTGACTTACCACCTCACCAAAGAGCTCAAGGTAAGGGGAAGATCGGGGTGTACCCTGGAGGCTTTTGCTTTGCAGGGGAGCACAGGCTCTGTGCCTTTTGGGAAGGCAGCTCGCGGCTGTATCGGAGGTTTGGAGTTGACCACCATGCTGGTCAAAACCCAGAACTCCTGATAAACGAAAGATCTGTTTTAAAATTTCATTTCAACACTCGTTTTTTTATTCCTTCGAGGCATAGTATGGCACAGTAACGAAAGCCCTAAAAACTGATGGCTTTTTCCACCCTCTCGCCGTGTTTTTTTCCCCAGGATGCAGGGGCAGGACTCCTTGCTGCCGCCATGATTGCAGTTGTGCCGGGGTACATCTCTCGATCTGTTGCCGGCTCCTACGATAACGAAGGTGAGTTTGTGACAGTCGGAGTGAGGAAACCTTAACAGCTTCGGGTGCTGGAAAGCTGCTGTGGGGCACGACAGAACCGTCCTTTCACAGCGAGCCCCGCCAGGTCCCTGCCAGTTTACAAACCCAACTGCTTGGAGATCGGTGGTTGTTCTCGCCTATGCAGTTGAGAAGAGGGAGCGTTTCCTGGCTCCAGCAGCAAGCACACCCCATTCCCTGAGTGTCCTTTTTTGCCAGTCAAAAAGGGTTTTGCTACCTCCACAAACTCTGCTTGGGATCGGAGCTGCTGCGTGCTCCCCCATGGTTTTACCTCCCTTCCAGCAATGACTTTGGGGCTGGCGAAGGCACCGGTCTTGTTGCCGATGCCTGGGGTGGAAGAGGGTCCAGGTTCCTCTCCCATAGCTGGGCTTTCGGGGGCCGTGCAAGGAGCCACTGTGTCCAGAAAGGCCAGCTGGTGTGGCTAGAAGCAGCCACGCGAGCTGTTCTCTATGTAAGACACAAACATCACAGCATTTCAATCTAGGGATCAGCTGTGAAACCCTTTTCCCAGGCCTGGCTCTTTGTATGAGGTGCTGTTCCATCTTCTGACGGAGCAGCAAAAGCATTTATAGATATATTTTAATTTTTTTTTTAATGCAATTGCGTGCTCTGGCACGCCGCAGAGATTGTATTAACGTTTCAGGGCTGACGTGAGCTTGCTTTGACCTTTCTGTGTCCTTCCACCCAGGTATCGCCATTTTCTGCATGCTGTTGACTTACTACATGTGGATCAAAGCCGTCAAAACCGGCTCCATCTATTGGGCAGCGATGTGCGCTCTTGCCTATTTCTACATGGTAAGTGTTCCTTCTCCCAGCGCCGAGGTGTTTCT